AGCCGAAGGCAGTCGCTTAACCAACTGAGCCACCCAGGCGCCCGATCCCATTCTCTTTTATGACTAAGCAATATTCCATTGTGTGTGTGTGTGTTTATATATATATATACATCTTTGCCCATTCATCTATTGGTGGATATTTGGGTTGCTTAGATATCTTTGCTACTGTAAATAATGCTACAATAAACATAGAGGTGCACATATCTTTTCTAATTAGTGCTTTTCTTTTCTTTTTTAAATTTTTTAAAAGATTTTATTTGTTTGAGAAAGAGCGAGAGAGAGAACACAGAAGGAGAGGGAGAAGCAGAATCCCCACTGAGCAGGGAGCCTGACATGGGGCTCAATCCCAGGACCCCAAGATCATGACCCAAGCTGAAGGCAGACGCCTAACCAACTGAGCCACCCAGGCGCCCCAGTGCTTTCGTTTTCTTTGGGTAAATACCCAGTAGTGGAATTACTGAATCATATGGTATTTCTATTTTAATTTTTTGAGGAAACTCCTTACGGTTTTCCACAGTGGCTGCACCAATTTACATTTCCACCAACAGTCCACAAGGGTTCTTTTTTCTCTACATCCTCACCAACACCTATTATTTCTTGTCTTTTTCATTTTAGCCATTCTGACAGGTGGAAGGTGGAAGAATAAATTCTCAAAAGGGTACCTAACAGCATAGCAAATGCTATATAAACACTAGCTATTATTATTCCCTTTTTCCTGATGAGAAAACTAATGTTAAATAAATCGAGCAGATAGTAAGAACTCAAAAAACATAACTTCCTTTGCTTTCTCCCCTTACATCTTAGCTCCTTCTGGTGTTGCCCTCCTTAGTGGTCCTGAAATTCAAACAGGGGACTCCCAAATATCCCAAAGAAGTCAGTTCCTAAAGGTAGCAATGAGAAAACTGAGAAACCTCCATTAAACAGTCCAGACGGATATGGTTCTGGAAAAGAGCACTCCCCAGAGCACTCTTGTCATTATTATCAAAGACCTTCCCAGTAACAAAACTCACCCTACCCAAAACAAGATGCATAAGGATTATGAAAATCAACTAAGATCTGTGCAGGAAACCAGATTTCAAGGAATATTCAAATAAGTATGATCTGTCCAGAGCCCATTTTGACCACTTTGCCCACAGAAGCTGAAAGACCATGATCATTTTCGAGATTAGGCTAATAATAACTTACTAGAGACTCTATTCTCTCCCTGTTCTCCTACTGTTACTGCAAACATAAAATTCATGAAAATGATGGTTTTTAAGTGACATGATATCTTTGTGATTATAGACTGCCCACCCAGTCCACATTTGCAATGAGGTGTATCTTTACCAGGTAAGATTGATTGGCAGATCTGCACATTAGTATCAGACAGGCTCCTTTTATACTTGTAAAGCTCTCCATGATTCTGCAAGATTCCTCTAATTCAGATTTTAGCATTCCCGGGTGTTCTATTTGAGAGACTGAATATACAAACAGTGGCCAGACCATATATAAAAACAGAACTCTGAGGGCTGCTGGGTGGCTCAGCTCGTAGAACATGCAACTCAGGGTTGTGAGTTCAAGCCCTAAGTTGGGGGTAGAGTTTATGTAAAAACAAAAACAAAACAGAATTGTGACCTACAACCTGAAGAAGCCAACCCAGGTAACCAATCCCCTTATCTGTAATAAACAGCTCAGGAAGCCAGCCTGCTATAAGTCAGATTTGCAGAAGTCAGACCTGCAGAAGTCAGACCATTGTCTCTAGTAACCCCTGTAACAATTGGCCCCAAATGGCCAGGACTTGATTAATAAATATAGCTTCCCCAGATTTTGTGGCCACTTCCAATTTAGGACCAACCAGAGAAAGCCAAATATGCGCTCCTAACCAATCACACAGAATGCCCCTACTCCTATTTATCCCAACTACAACTTTCCCGTTGCAAAAAGCCTTGAATTAACGCATACCTGAAACGTCCCTTCGCCCCCACTATAAAGCTTCCTGCATCCCTTTGAGTCTCTGCCAAAACTCAAGTGTCTGCAGCTGACCCCCCTTGCTATACAGCAAGCTCTGAATAAATAGCCTTTGATTTTCTTATTTGGTTGGTCTTCGTTTATTTCCACATATTGGACCTAGTAATTCTATGAAGAATTAATTTCCAAACCCTCTCAAAAAGACATTGGCTTAGGGGGGCCTGGGTGTCTCAGTCGTTTGTCGGCCTTGGGCTTGGGTCATTATCCCAGGGTCCTAAGATCGAGCCCTGCACTGGGCTCCTTGCTCAGCGGGGAGCCTGCTTCTCCCTCTGCCTCTGCCTGCAGCTCTGCCTGCTTGTGCTCTCTCTCTGAAATGAATAAAATCTTAAAAAAAAAAAAAAAGATATTGCTTTGCATTGTTTAAATGCGTTATTTCTAAAACATTCATAAAGTTAGCGAGAAACATTTTTTACTTCATCTTAATAACCTAAGCCAATATGCTCAAGGGCTCACCTTTCTGTAGGAGACCTTTCTTCCTGAAATGGGAGCGGCTTTCTTCTACCCACCAGAGCAGCTGACCTAGTGAGGACGCCAAAAGGCCGAGACCACGCCGCGCTCAGGCCAACCCCCAAGTGGGAACTACAATTCCCAGCGGCCCGTGCAGACGCCAGACCGCGGGCACAGTGCGCCTGCGCAGTGTCAGAGGCTCTGGCTGTGTGGTTCCCGCCAATTCTTGCCGTAACACTGCGGACGTTGAGTCCCGCGCTCCATGGCGACGTTTGACCCAGCCGAGCTGCCTGAGCTGCTTAAGCTTTACTACCGGAGGCTTTTTCCCTACGCCCAGTACTATCGTTGGCTCAACTATGGCGGAGGTGATGGAAGCCGGGAGCGGAGTGGGTAGTTCGGCGGGGAGGGCGAGGAGGTTCTGGGAGGGCACCTTGGAACGACAATATGAAGTGCCTCCTGTGCGCTAGGCATTGTGCCGGGCGCCTTCGCGCATTATCTCGAGCCCTCCCCACCACCTCAGAAGTATAAATGGGCCGAGAGAGGTTACGGTAACCAGCCTCCGGCCACACAGTAAAAGAAAGAGCCGCTGCTCCTACCACTACGTGGTGGGACTCACATTCAGTGCCCCGTTTACCTACCGCGGTGCCTGAGTCAGGGAGATTACTGGGTCGTAGCTTGAAGCTGCAGAGGCGTGTTCTGTATCAGGGACAGCGGGGCATCTCCCGGAAGACGAGAGGTACTGAACTCTTCGCAGCTGAACTTAGTAGTGTCCACCGAGGAGAGACAGGGGACATTACATCTTTAAAATATTTCTGCATATTTTTCCTCATTTTTACTTTCCTATCAGATGCAGGATGGTAAGCCCCTTCAGATTGGGGACTAGGTCTTTTTTTTTTCTTTTTAACGTGTAACACAGTGTTGGGCACAGAGGGCTCATTAAAAATATCTTATCATTGGTTAATGTTTTAATGCCCCGAGCTGAATAAATTACCAAATTAACTTTAAAATTGTATATTTATTTTGCAGTAATAAAGAATTACTTTCAACACCGTGAATTTTCATTCACATTGAAAGATGATATTTACATTCGCTACCAATCCTTCAACAACCAGAGTGATCTGGAAAAGGAGATGCAGAAAATGAATCCATACAAGATTGATATAGGCGCGGTATATTCCCACAGAGTAAGAAATCCGTTTTTTATGTATTTTAGTTTTGTTGTTTAAACCAAGAATGGATTGGTGCTCCCATTGTTTTGAGGTTAAATTTTTAGAGTTTATTCTAGTTGAGTCCCACTTTAACTTTTTGCAAGTAGATTGCAGTATTTTTTGTTCTTTGATATTCTACATTACTGACTGGAAATCATTTGGAAGTGAGTTGGTTGTATTCTCACTAGGACAAAAATATTGAGTATCTGGCCAAAAGAGTAAATGAGGAAGTCAGCATGGTTTAAAGGAGCGTATTTTAAAAGAATTACATTGTCTTCCAGCATTGGAGGTGTTTTATTTTGTTTTGTTTTTGTTTTTGCATTTTTTTATTTTATTATTTTTGGTTTTTAAGTAATCTCTATATCCAATGTGACCCGGAGATCTAGAGTCACATGCTCTACCAACTGAGCCAGGCCAGCACCCCATGGAGTTATTCTTGATTCCTCTATTTCTCTCATACTCCTATATCTATTCCATTAGGAAATCTCTTTAGCTCTACCAAAATAGTATCTGAAATCCAACCACTGGTACCAGTGCTACTACCATCCTCATCATCTTTCATCTGAATTACTGTAAAAACTTCCTAACAATTTGCTCCTATAGACTCCAGAGTCTATTCTCAACACAGTTGCCAGAGCACTCCTTTTAAAACAAGTTAGATTCTGTGATTCCTCTGCTCAAAACCATTCTCTAATGGCTCCCATTTCACTCAGAGTAAAAGCGCCTCTCTCCCCCCTCACTCACTCTGCTCCTGCCACACTGACCCTTGCTCAGGCAGTTTCCAGTGCCCAGAACCCATTTCCCCAGATATCTCCTTGGTTCCTTCCCTCACCTCCTCAAGTCTTCACTCAGTGAGGCCTACTGCAACCTGCCACTCCTCTTACCCATTGCCACTGATATAGTCTAAATGTCTAGAATAGTGCCTGGCAGAGAGAGTGAACCATAAGTATTTGATGAATGAATGAACATACCAAAATTGCCCTTCTTTCTCTCCTTAAAAATACACACAAGGGGTGGGGGAGAGGCACCTGGGTGGCTCAGTTGGTTAAGCATCTGCTTTTTGCCTTCAACTCCGGTCGTGGTCCCAGGGTCCTGGGATCAGGCTCCCTGCTCAGTGGGGAGTTTGCTTCTCTCTCTCCCTCTGCCCCTCTCCCCTGCTCGTGCTTTCTCTCTTGCTTTTGCTTGCCCTCTATCTCTCTCTCTCAAGTAAATAAATTTAATAAAAAATCTAAAAAAAAAAAAAAAATACACACATGGGGGAGAAACACACTCATGGGATAATAGCTTTTGTATGGAGCTTTTTCTTTTTTTTTCCCTAAGATTTATTTATTTATTTTAGAGAGAGAGAGAGAGAGAGTGCACACGCCTAGCAGGGAGAGTGGCAGAGGGAAAGAATCTCAAGCAGTCTGCGCAGAGCATGGAGCTCAACGCCAGGCTTGACCTGGTGACCCTGAGATCATGACCTGATCCAAAATCAAAAATCAGACACTTAACTGAATGAACCACCCAGGTGCCCCAGGCTTTTTTTTTTAAGGGTCTCCTACTCCCATTATTTTCTGCTCCCCAGAGGCAACTACTTTCTTTTTAGCTGATTCTTAAGGTATTTGCCCCTTGTGTGTAAATAACATTTTAATATTTCTTTCATTTTCCATTTTAAGCATTATCTACTGACCTTCTACTCTGGCAGATAAGGATTTAGCTTTTTTTTTTTTTTTTAACCTCACTGCTTACCTTCCCATTTCCACATGTCCTAATATGTTTGTTAGATTAAAAATCAGGATTAGATCACTAACTCAACCCCAGACTTCTTACCAATTGTCTAAATCTCCCCATGTATTCAGATCTATCAGGTAGTTTGTCAGTTCCATCCTGAAGAAATTTCACTGGCAGCTTTCTGACCTCCAACCTGGACTGATGGCTCTCTCTAAGCCTCATGGATAAATATGGTCTTGTAATCACCCCGGTTTCCTTTCATCTCTCTCCCATTTTGGATCCTGTGTTGCCCAAATCCTTTGTTCTCTTTTTGGTTTACTTCCTCTTTAAGGTAGAGCACATCTTCCAGGAGCTTCCAGAGAAAAGGTGCATGGAAAAGAAAATATTGGACACTTTCTGTATCTGGAAAATGACTTCATTCTACCTTTATGCTTAACTAATGGTTGAGTTTGTAAATCAGTTTCCCTTAGAATTTTGCATGGTATGCTAGTTTCCAGTGTTGCTGTTAAGAAGACTAATGCCATTCTGATTCTTGCTCCACTGTGTTGGACCTGAAAGCTCTTAGGATTTTCTACCTATCCCCTCTGTTCTAATGTACTAAAATTTCACAATGATGTGCCTTGGCGTGCATCTTTTTCACCTATTGTGCTAGATACTTGATGGGCTCTTATGATCATGAACTCATGTCCTTCAATGCTGGGAAATTTCCTTTTAAGATTTTATTTTGAAGTTTAAAAAAAAAAAGATTTTAAGTAATCCCTGTACCCAACATGGGGCTCGAACTTACAACCCAGAGATCAAGAGTCATGCTCTACCGACTGAAACAGCCAGGCACCCACACCTATCTTTTCTTTCTTAAATACAATTTTTTCTATCTATAATTTTTCTTTGGTCTCTCTAGAAATCCAAAAGTCCGATGTTATGTGTCTTGGACTGGTCCACTAATTATTTTTTTTTCCTCCTATTTTCTATTTTTTTGTTCTTTTACTCTACTTGCTGAGGAATTTCCTCAGAGGTTTTCACTTCTGCTATTATATTTTAATTTCCAAGAATTTTTTTAGAGCATCTTGTACTTTTTTTATTGATATGTCTTATCTTTCTGAGGATATCAATGATAGTTTGTTTTCTGTTGTACAGTCTGTTTTCTCAAAGTTGCTTTTATTTTCCTGTTTTTTCTCTTTCTTATTAGAGGCTTTCCTCATAAGTCTGGTAATTTCTTGCATGCTGTTTATATTTAAAAATAGAGTACTAAAAAAGCTGATTGGAAGTTGTGTATACATGGCTGAGATTTCTTTATTACAGGGTGATCTGGCTGGGCCATTTTGGGGGGAAGAAGCTCCAACGTCAGTTTCTCTAGATCTTTGCTTGAATGAAAACTCCACTAGCACAGAGATCTTTGTTTTGATCACTGATCTTCTATTCCAGAGCCTATAATAGTGCCTGACATTCCTGATCAGATTCTTCAGAGAGGAATCTTCTGGTCTCCTGTCTGGGGTGGCAGTGATAGGATATAGAAGTGGGGGAGAGGGATCTTAACTTCCCACACGTAGATGTCCACTTAATCCCCTGTATGTCAGTACAATACACTTTCTTCAACTGTGCTTTTGTTCCTAACCCCCATCCCAGTCCAGAGAGACCCACTGTTTGAGGTTCTCCAGATAATAATTCAGGTGTCTTTACCAGGGAAATGAAAGCATAGTCACCTGGCTCTGCTCAGTAAATGGAGGAATCTGGGGAACTAACTGCTTTATAAGCAGATTTTTAACTGATAACTCCTATTTTTAATCTTAGCTTCACCGCTACCTCTCTCTCTCTTCCCCCCCCCCCAGGGATACCCATTGTCACCTGAGTTTTTGGGGGATGCTGAGGTGTAAATTGGATTGCTTCTTATCTTTCCTTACTGAGAGCTTAAGATTCAGCTCTTATGGGTATTCTTATAAAAATTGTGGTATTTTCTCCTCTCTAGTACTTTTTAATTTTTTTTTATTTTTAAAAAAAAATTTTCCCTGTGGTCCTTTTTTAAAAGACTTAATGCATTTCTTAAGAAAACCTTTACTATCATTTTTGTGCAGGTCTGGAAAGAGCAAGATAAGTATCTGTATTCAGTCTGCTTTATATATACCAGGTAGCCCCTAGCCTCAAAGGAGGCTACCTGTATACAGGTTGAGCCAAAGGCTCAGTTCAAACTAACTGAGATCTTCTGAATTATTGAAAATTTTTAAATACATTTTTGTTACTTATATGTCCAGTAATAATTAAAGGTCTTTAAAACAATAGGGCATTAATTATTTGCATGTACTTTTCCTTATCAGAAACCTAAAAAAGCTTTATTATGATTTCTATTGATTAACAAATATTATTCAATGTTACATATCAACTATATCTCAGTAGAACTGGTAAAAAACAAATATCTGTGGTAATATATATTTATCAAAACCTGTTTTAGGTAGATGAAATTTACATTGTCATCAATCTGGACGTATAGAATCCAAATTAATGAACTTTAACTGAGTAGAGTTGGCATTATATTATGGTTTTTTCATTCCTCTTTGGCCACTTTCTTTGTGTGGATAGAAAATAGCATAATTGGCAGCATGATAGCTCTTATCAAAACTGAATGATATTTTTCCTTACAGCCCAATCAACACAATACAGTGAAGCTAGGAGCTTTCCAGGCTCAGGAAAAAGAACTGGTGTTTGACATTGACATGACAGACTATGATGATGTGAGGAGATGTTGTAGGTAAGCACTACATGCCCTGCTGGTAGGGTGGGTGATATCACTGACAGTGAATAATGATGCCTCTGCTCCAGTTCTGCAGACATATGTTCTAAGTGCTGGACCCTCATGACGATGGCCATACGCATAATCGACCGAGCATTGAAGGGCAAGTATTGGCAGTGTCTGAGTGGGGTCAGATGCAAGAATCTGTTTGAGTATTTGTCTATCTATACCATTTTATAATCAAATCTCATAGATTTCTAACATGTTTCCTTGAAACATATGGCTGGAAAATAAAAGATGATTAGAATAAAGTTGTAGTTGAAACTCTAATAAAGCTGTTGATCAAACCAGTGAATTTTTTCCCAAATCAGTCAGCAGCTCTGTGTGCTACAAACTGTCCTAGGTGAGGGAAATATGAAAGATAATGATCGCCTCAAGTAGGTTATACAGTCTAAGAAGGAGACAAATAAAATTGAGGATTATATTTAGAACAGCAGGAGTACATACAGGAATGGAAAGAGATTGGATCAGAAAAGGTGATGATAAGGATGATAATGATATTAAAAATAGCTAACTCTCGGGGCACCTGGGTAGCTCAGTTGGTTAAGCCTCCAACTCTTGATTTCAGCTCAGGTCATGATCTCAGAGTCCTGGGATATAGCCCCACACTGGGCTCCAGGCTGGGCAAGGAGCCTGCTTCGGATTCTCTCTCTCTCCCTCTGCCCCTCCCCACCCCTGTGCATGCACACTCACTCGCTCTCTCTCTCTCTCTCAAAAAAAAAAAGCTAACTTTTGTCCTTGCTTCAGCAGCACATACACTAAAAAGAGCTAACTTTTTTTTTAAGATTTTATTTACTGGGGCACCTGGGTGGCTCAGTTGTTAAGCGTCTGCCTTCGGCTCAGGTCATGATC